CCGGGGGGGGGGGTAAATGTACTGAGGAAATGCAGACCAAAATGTAGCCGTTGACGTTGCCATGGCAACGACTAAGAAGCGTCGTTTGTGAAGACCAAACAGACACTGCACGAAATCCTACCTTAAAGTATCCATAAAGGTATACGCGAGAAGAAACGGAATCTTTAACCATACTTTAATTTTAGTGCAAAGAATATGGGGTTTGTCTAGTGACAGCACAAGATACAAGGAAGGATAAAATAGCTTTTTAGTGGATTGCTGTATATGTATTACAGAACATGTATTTCAAGCTAACACCAACTTACACCCTTAGATACGAAAGGCTAACCCAATTTAATAGAAAAGTATTTCCTAACAATCTTCCACCAGTGCGGCTACCACAACATAGCAGTCACTCATTAAAATGTCGCATTTATGCAAGTACAATGTGCTTTCTTAGATAAATTCAGATACCTCTGCCATAGACTCGCTGTGCACATTAGAATTTAAATATTATACATACATGTATGAGACTTAAAAGCTTAATCAGTCCTATACATTGCAGTCCAGTACCAGGAAACTATACCGTGTATACGCAATTCCATAATTTATATCGTTCCTGGTTCTATCATGGGGACATATAATTGGATCCCCCTTAATGTTCGTACTCAATTGTATATCTCCATAATAACATCGGCAGCGAGAGCTAAAAACTGACGTAACTAGTACTTGTATACCCCTGAGACAATTTCATCAGTTATGACAAAACTTAAAACTGTTTTTTTAACTCGAATTATTCACCAAATCATTTTTGACCCAAGTGCTGTGATCACGTGGTTTAAGTTGTGACGTCAGTTGTAACGTCCCAATGGTCAAAGTTGGTCGGAAGTCGACATCGTCCCCCGTCTAGAATTTCTCATAATGCATTTTGCCAACGCAGATGAACTAATGCTAATTGTTACTGTACATAGACTCGTGGTGCTCCAATCCCTCCCTCAGATCTCGCGCGAGTTGGAGGTGGAAGGCGTGCACAGGCATTTCCGGTCCGGGGGCGTAACGGCCCACGTCGAACGCAGTGGACTCCATGCCTCTCTGAACCCCCTCACACACCCTCGTGTCCTCCTGCTGGACCTGATCACTGTCCTTAAGGCTCTGCTGGATGAACTCCGCCAACTGAAATTAAATGTAAATAGGTTAGATGTAGACGTCTGATTTCAGAGTTAAAGAGAACAACTCGAGTTCCATGATTGTCTAAACTTGGGAATAACATTACACCATGTCTTTCACTTTTGAATCAAAGCCATGGTGTAATTTTATTCCATTTAGACTATCAAGGATCTCAAGTCAAAAAGTGTAGCTATGAAT